AATTAACATACACACCCCATTACGGTTCTATTACTATATTGACCCCCCTGAACAGCGACCACAATAAAGAGGAGCAAGTCAAATGTTTAGCACAGGTAAGCATGCTCTGTCGGCATTGAAGCAGTTCATTGAAGAAGATGAAGACGAGGAGTCAAAAAAAAAAAAAAAAAAACAGAAAGATCATCAAGTCTTCCCCCAAAAACGATATTTTTGTAATATGATACTTAAGAAAAAAATGACACAACAATGAGCTTTTTGTTTCAACTTACAGGATGTCTGGATATGGACACACAAACATTTCCTCAATGACTGCCTATCAGAAGGCAGGCAGTGATTGAAAGGAAGATTATTTTAAGAATATCTTTTTCCTGACTATATTCTTCTGCCTACCACACATTAGTGTTTTCACTAGTACCTCCAAGTTCCTTCTCTCTTGCATAACATACATAAAAATATTTGGTAAAGCAGAAAAACAGAATGAATGTTAATTTCTCCCTCCTCTTCCCTTCCTCCTTTTCCATAAATAGGAATTAATATACTCTCCCTCACAGCAGCACTATAGAATCTGTTAATAGGGTAAAATAGCTTTAATGACTTCATGTTGTCTGTCTTTGCTGTGCACTCGCACAACAAAACACGGGAAAAATGGTAAAGTTAAACTCGGCAACATGCATGCAATCCCCATAACTTTTCACAGAACTGATTAAAGGCCCTATCAAGTCTTCATAGCCACAATAATGGAACGTACTAAAAAGCAAACAAACATCTAAGCAATCTAACATGCAAGAAAAAAACAGAGAGACAAGGAGAGTGACTACCGCATAACAGAAATATATTACCTTCTAGGGCTCTGGTATCATTTTTAAAAACTTCTTGTCGAGTTCTGTGTAGCAATTTAAAAAGCTTCAAAACCTGTCAACAAAACATCAACAAAATATGTTTGCTAACAAGATACAATTGGMATCAGTGGAAATCAGTTTCTCAGATACAGTGTCTCAATTCCTGGTGAAACAATCTGCAGACAAAGCAGTTTGCTTTGCAGACAAACTTTGCAGACAAAGCCAGAAATTAAGGAAATCAAAAATAYAGGCAATCAGTCTGGCATGTTTCACATTCATCTGATATGCAAGACATGTCATTATGCTTCTATATAATCATTTGGTATGACAGGAATTTAATCCTGAAAAAAATATTCATGCAAACATATTTCTTATGCTTTTATATTTATATATATGTGTGTGTATATACATATAAAAATAAATAAAAACTAATTTCCATATGACTTTAGGCACCTGTAAAAGACACAATTTCAAGTATTTCCATCAACTATTATACTGTTTTCTCACAATTAATGTTCTCAGTATTTCTTAGGAGGAAAGCAGAAAAGATGCAGACTGTATCTAAAAAATGGCCATGTCCTCCGTTAGCATGCTTTGTTATCTGTGAGTTGGAGATCCAAACAGGTCTGGCCTCTAAGAGCAAAAGAGTCGTAACATGAGAGAGCAGCCAATAAATACACCACAGAAAGGCTGTGAGAGATGCGTTGCTCAAACTATCAATCAGTGACAGAGAGAGATGAGAAGCTTCTCTGAAAGCTACTACTCTCAACAGGTATTAACAATTTTTTTTTCAAGCAAAGTTCTTAACTGCCATCTCAGCTGCAAGCTGACTACACCTTATGACAATCCATCTACAAGTGTACAAGCACAACATGAGTGGTTTGAAGGGAGGATGTCATAAGACAGTAACAACAGGTCATCTTCCAGGTCAACAGRGCTTCCACAATGCAGTAATGCAAGGGACCACTTATACAATATTCCAGAAAAATTTAAAATAGCCACGAATTCAAATTTGTCATTTCTTTACTTCAATGAGTAACATGCCTTTTAATAGCTACTGTAGTTTCTAACTAAATACACTGCTACTGAGGACATACTTCTAGATCACAGACCATTCTGAGAAGATTAACTAGTCCATTCACAGACACTTAGGACTACGGAGAACGTTTCCTCACTAAAAGCTTCTGTAAATTCTGGAAGACCTAGAACACGACCTGACAAGCAAACGTTAGCAGAAGAGACAGCACATTTTCTCCCTTGCCCTTTTCTTACTGTAATGAGACAAACGCCCGTCCCGCCTCGCAGGGCTCCTCTCCACCCCTTCCGCAGAGACTCCGCTCCGCCTCCCGGGAGGCGGCTCCAGGCCGTGGACACCCGCCCTCCTTGGGGCCAGCCGTTCCGCTCAGAGGGGCCACACGTCCCCCAGCTCGGAGCGGCTACTGAGGCTCTGGCGAGCAGCTCCCGCTATCCTTCCCCCACCACGCGGCGACCGTTACCRGCGACCGTTAGCCCTGCGCATGCGCGCCGCACTCACCTGCCCGCGGCTCCCCATGGTGCRGCCGCGCCGCCTCCGCTGCTGGAGCCCCGCCCTCAGCAATGGCCAATGGGGAGATGCCGTCCCAGGCACGTGACCGCCTCCTTTCTGAAGGGACAACAGCGCCGTTACCGGAAGTAGACGTGGAGAAGCTTTGCGGCGCCGCTGCCAGTACTGCTCCCCCGGGCCGCGCTGGCGCCACCATCGTTCCGCCCTGCGTGTTGGACCTCAGGGCGGGAGCCGCGGCGGCCTCTGCCCCTCCTGCTCCTCGAGGGAAAACATTTCACTTCGAGCTGGCGAAATCCAGGGCCAGACTCTGCTGCAGCTGCACTGTGAATGACACAAAATACAACGCGCACTACTAGTTTTCTTTCCAAAACGTCATGATTTCAGAGAATTATGAAGCCAACGGTTTACAACCAGCATGCTCACATTACACTGCTGCCTTTTATTCCCCCTAAGGGTCCAACTGCATTTAAATTTTTATTAAAAAAATTCTCACATTGGTATAATCAAGGTTTAACAATCACAACTGATCTGAAACTTTTTTTTTTTTTTTTTTCAAGAGAGGAAATAACTTTTTTTATGGAAACCATACTTCAGACAAGATTGAAAGTTATCCTGTTGGTAGTGCTGCTGAAGTTGATAGGTAAGAATCCAAGTGAACTCCAGAAAGACTTAGGCATGCCTCTGTGGAGTAGTTAAAGAGGGACAATACACTGCCAAGCCAGAATTGTACTCGGTGCGAAGCATGAGTGCCCTGAGCATGCACCAACGAGYCTCACTCACGACACCTGCTCACACCCCCTGTGCACGGGCCGCGATCCCCTTCCCGAGGCCGCCGGCTCTGCCCTCGTTGGGCCGCTCAGCCGCCCTCCTGCGCCACAAGGGGATGCTCCCGACGGCCGCCCCAGGCCTYACGGGGCCCGAGCAACACACCCGCCATGGCAGTCGCCCCCAACGGCCGCCCCTAACGGTCGCCCGGGCCCCTCCCCCGCGCCTCCTGCCCCGGAGCCGAGGGCGCAGGCGCCGTCTGGGCGGGGCCAGCGCAATGGGCAGTCGGTCTGTCCAATGAGAAGGCGCAGCGGCTCCCACCGCCCAATGAGCGCGGGGCGGGGCGCCAGGGCGGGCAGCGCTGAGGCGGCGGCAGCGGCGGCGTGGGGGYCGCCATGGCTGACGAGATCAGCAAGGCGCAGGCCGCCCGCCCCGGYGGCGACACCATCTTCGGCAAGATCATCCGCAAGGAGATCCCGGCCAACATCATCTACGAGGACGAGCAGGTGCGCGCGGGCGCCGCGGTGCCCGGCCGTCTTCCCGCGCCTCCCCAAAATGTCGCCGGGCGCGGGGAGGGGGGGGCTGCGGCCTGGGGCCGCGCTCAGGCCGGGCCGGGAGTCCCGGGGAGCTCGAGTGGAGCGGCCGCTGCGGCTGCGGCTCCCGCGTGGCGCCGCTGAGCCCCCTGTTCTGTRGCTGATGCCTGAGACTCCACACTGGCGTGTCAAAGAGCTGCTGCCTTAGTGCTGGAGGTGACTCATCCCCCACCTGGGGCCGCGCAWACGCCTCTGGTCTGGAGCCTGCAGAGAAGTGGGGCTGTGTAAAAAGCAAGCTTGAAAAATCTGCTTGTGCTCAGGGAGCGCAGTGCGCCAGAAAGTGGATGATCCAGTTTGATTCTGAGAAAAAAAATGTCCGGGTCATTTACGAAATGTAGATATACATATATAGATAGGTGTAGATAGTATTATACTTTTTTTAGTTAATACGGAACATTTTGAAAGTAAGGTTAATGCATAGTATGTAAAACTGTATGGTTTTATTGAAAGGTGCTGTTTTTCTGATTTCTTGTGCTCTCAATGACAATGCATCTCTTCGATAAGTGCACTTTTCTTTAAATGCATTGCAGTAGTGTTAYAGCTGCCATCTCTCCGCCTGAATGTTGGAGGTGTGCACTGCATCCCCCCAAAAAGCCTTCTTTATGGCATTACAAAACAGGGTACTTTCTTTTGTTCATAAAGGTTCATGAAATTTACTTTTTTTTTWAAACATTTTTTTTTCATAGCTGTGCTGATTATAGCAATGAAATCTCAACGGTGTGCGTGATTGAGAAATAGGCTACCAACTTTGATATGTTGAGTGATCTGGGAGTAGATAATCTGCTCTGAGTGTTGTGGATCCAGAGTGTTTTCTGAAAGACTAATCGCTTGCAGTCTCCGACTTGAGTTTAATTTAAAATATGCAGGAGCTTGGAACTATTGGTTTGGTTGGTTGTAGTGACTGAATTTAAATCACTGTATTCTGAGTTTAAAGCACTGAGGTCCTCTGTACTTTTAACAGGAAATCCTATGTGGACAGATGTAATGAAGATTAATTAATCATTAATTGATATGCAGTGCAAAGGAAATGCAAAAAGTACAAAGTTTCTGTGGACTTAAGCCTTATCAGTGCTGTTGCATCTGAAATAAAAGTGTCCAAAACGCCCCAAAATGAAGGTTGTTATTGTGCATTCACAGGCTTCCCGTGGTTATGCTTTTGTTCAAAGTTATGCTCTTTTTGCCCCCATAGAAATTGATTTGCTACTGGTGTACGTTGTTAAATTCTTTAACTTAGCTTAGTCATTTGTCTCCTGTCTTTGTGGACCACAGAAGATAAGAAAATTGAAGATATTCTGAGGATTCTAAATTATGTACTAGAACTGTAAGCTCTTTGGGGCATAACTTGACCATGACTTGCAAAAGGTTTTAATGTTAAGTCTTATGAGCAGGCTGGGAATCCCTGCTGGTCAGCAGTAGCAGAGTCAGTGCTTGGTACCACATGGACATTGCTGAATGGTGGTTGTTGCAGCAGCAGGTTCTGTTTCTGTGCCTGGACACTTGCATAAACAGCGTAGTGCCCTTTCCCTCCCCCTTTGTTTTCTCTTCTACTTCTTTCTACACTGGAATCTCTAAAATGCCCACATAACTTCTTGGCCTCATCACATGCCTTGTGGAATCCTGCTTCTGTAGGTAAATGCTTGTCTTGAGATTGGTGTAATGCGACTGGATGGACTGCTGCATGCAGTTTCTGATYGCTCCTGACTTTGCACTTCCATAAAATTATTTGTTACCTACTTCCTCTTTCAGTGACACCCTTTTCTCAATTTGGAGATGTATGATCAGCTGATATGTTACTCGCATGTGGTAATAGCCAACTCTGTTCATTCTTATGTATATAAGAAAACAGTAAATYGTGCAGCTATTTTTCTTCATTGAAAATGTTACTACTTTTAAGTAATACACTCAAAAAATCAATGTTCTGTGTATACACCAGAAGTTTTTGTAGTTAAGTATTTTTGTATTGGAAGTGGGGACTTCAGTAATGTGAAGAAAAATCAACATCTTTGCTTGTTTTTGAGCTATCTGATTATACTTAGGCATCCGCATATGAGGAGGAACTTCTTTCCTGTGAGGGTGCCAGAGCCCTGGCACAGGCTGCCCAGGGAGGCTGTGGAGTCTCCTTCTCTGGAGATCTTCCAAACCCGCCTGGATGTCGCCCTGTGCCCCGTGCTCTGGGTGTCCCTGATGGAGCAGGAGGCTTGGACTAGATGATCTCTAGAGGTCCCTTTCCAACCTCAACCATTCTGTAATTCTAGGATATGTTTATTGGACTATGCTGACTTGATTAGTTTGCTTTCTGAGAAAGATACTTTATATTTAACAGTTTACTCTTTTTTTTTTTTTTTTTTTTTTTTCCCCCACTTAGTGTCTTGCGTTCCATGATATCTCACCTCAAGCTCCAACACATTTTCTAGTGGTTCCTAAGAAGCCAATTGTCAGGTTATCTGAAGCAGAAGATTCTGATGAATCTGTAAGTATTATGGAAGCTTTTTATATGCCAAACTGTGCGTGTAATTMACTCAAAATCTACTAGATTCTTTCCCCATCCTCTTTTTTCCTCTTTGACACTACAAAGAGTCAAAGTAAGCTATTTCAGCTTTTCTGACAACATAATACTTTGCCTTCAGCTTATAACAGCAATGGAATTTTTTGGACAAAGTAGTTATAAAATAATGCACATCTAAGTGTGTATTTTTAGTGCAAAAAAATAGTGAAAAAAATAATGCAAATATGATATACAGCCTGATACCTCTTTGGCTTACAATAAATTCTCATGTGGAGAATAGGGCTTGGGCAGAGGCGAAGGGGCAAATTGTTTGAGAGATGCTGAATATTTAATTAGTAACTACAAAAACAAAGTTCAAAGATGTCATAAACCCTTGCAAGACAACATAAAGTTTCTTTTCTAGCAGAATTACTTACCCTGTCTGAAGCAGTAGTGGGAGATTTAACCCTGAGACAAATTTAGCTTCTGTGATTATTTTATAGTCCGTTACTGCTTAGCTTGAAAGAATTCCATAGCTCTTTTTATTCCTGTCTTATGCATAATCAGTCTTTGTAGCTTTACTTGGAAAGTGTTGGTTGCAGACAGACAGCAATTTGGAGAGCAGTGGTTGAATTGCAAGGAATTAGCTAACTGGCTTCTCTGAATTTTCTCTGCTCTCATTCCTTCTTTTCCCCCCTCTCTCCCCTGTGTGTGTGTGGTTCCCCCCTCCTTTTTTTTTTTTTTTTC